CATTTAGGCTATTTCCACATTTTGGAGATTGTAAATTGAGCTGTGATAAACAGTCTAGTGTATATGTCCTTATGATAAAAGGACAAAATCACTTTTAGAATAACATGCGTATATTCATAACCTTAAAAAGGAACACTGTACCCCTTGGCCATCACCCCTAATACCTCCTTCCCTGAGGCAAGCATTAATCTATTTTAAGTCTCTATACCTTTCTTATTCTGGACAATATACAAATGGAATTATATAATTTATGGTCTCTTGTAATGTTTTCTTTCAATTAGCCTAAATTTTCAACGTTCATCCATGTTGTAGCATCTATCAATACTTCATTTCCTTTTATTGCCAAGTGATACGTGCCATTTTGTTTATCCCTTCATCAGTTGATAGACATTGATTTTGTTGCCACTTTTTGAGTATGACGAATAACTCTGCTCTAAACATTCACATGCGAGTCTTTGTGTGGACATGTTGACGTGTTTTCATTTCTCTTGGATATGTACCTAGCAGTGGAATTGCAGGATCATGTGGTAACTCGATGTTTAACCATTTGGGGAACTGCCAGACTGTTTCCAGAGAGGCTGTACCATTGTACATTCCCACCAGTGTAATAGCCCAAATTTTCCACATCTTACTAACACTTTGTATCTCTCTTTTCTTGTAGTCATTCTAATCCATATATCCCACTACGGCTTTGATTTGCAATTTGCTGATGGCTAATGATGTTGAGCATTTTTCATGTGTTTACTGGCCATTTGTGTATCTTCTTCGAAGAACTATATGTTCATAGTCTCTGTCTGTTTTTTTAATTGGGTTGACTTGTCACTATTGAGTTGAGATATTTCTTTATTCTAGATACAACTCACTTATCAGATACATAATTTGCAAGTTTTATTCCATTCCAAGAGTTGTCTTTTTACTTTCTTAATGGTATCTTTTGAGACATAGGAGTTTTAAATCTCAAATAAGTCCAATTTCTCTTGATTTTTTCTTTTATTGCTTGTATTTTTCATGTCATAGCTAAGAAACCATTGCCTTATCCAAAGTGACAAGTATTTCTGCCTGTTTCCTTTTAAGACTTTTACAATATTTTAAGCTCTTACTTTTAGATCTTTGATCCATTTTGAGTTAATTTTATACATGACACATACATGTGATATAGGAGTCCAACCATATCCTTTTGCATGTGGATATACAGTTATCCCAACACTATTTGTTTATACATGATTAACTTTTACTTTATCTTCAGAGAGATGTTTACTATGTAGCTCAAATTGATATATATCCACACTGCTGAAAAGTTGGAGTTTGCAATTTATAGGTACGACTGTTACCAGCTAGTTCCATAGCAAATTACTAATAGTATTCACTCATTACAAGGTCATCTAGATAGGAACATCCTGCACTTGAAATTTCTGAAAAATTACACAGTGGATTGTAATTTTTAAGCTGACAAAGAAAATATACTATATACTGTTTGAAGTCTCCCTTGTTCCCTGTGAAGCAAAGAATCAGTTATCCCTAACAACTGTGAAATTTGGGGGTGTTGTAACCATAGCCTGTCCTGACAGATTTGTACTATTACACATAAAGGAATCAATAGACTTGTTCTGTTTCAATGTATTGTATTTCGTGGTTGTTATACATAAGAAGAAAATACAAGTCTTTATTTCCTGAGAACAGATATTTTAATAGATGAGTGAACTTTGCTTTGAAATTACTATTGGCCCTTTGTTTAGGAATATGTGTAATTTTAATGAATTAATACCTAAGTCTGTTAATTAAGCCCCTAGTTATTTTGGCTGTTCTTAAGACATTTTATTATGTACAAGAGAAGTGAATCCTAAATGCACAATATATATAATGTTTATTTTCCTGCATATCATGGGTGAATCTTTGATAAGACACTTATTCTGAAATCATGAGAAATAAAAGGAACATAAGAGGCTAATAGTGTAAATGTTCCCATTTTGTAGGTAAGGAAATGGAGGACTAGAAGTTACTGAATTTCCTTGGACTGTGTATCTTATTTGTAGAGTAAGTCAGAGAACAGACAATAGGACCTAAAAACAGGACTCATCCTATAGTTTGATTACATTCTCTTCAGTGTAAATCCAGATGGATGAAGTACGTATGCTCAGCATTTGACCCATCGTACATTTGACCATTGTATGACTCAGAAAAAAAAAGTCTAATCATTGTGTATACAAATGGTCTTCTATATAATATTTTCATGAATATCCTGCTTTAAAAACATCTTTTTAGAAGAAAATTCATCACTCATTCATTCTCACATTTAACAGCTATCACTCTCAAAAAGGTATTCTTTCTTTTATTTTTTTTTTGAATTTTTTTTTTTTTTGAGACTCCATTATGTCACCCTTGGTAGAGTGCCCTAGCGTCACAGCTCACAGCAACCTCAAACTCTTGGGCTTAATCAATTCTCCTGCCACAGCCTCCCAAGTAGCTGGAAATACAGGTGCCTGTCACAATGCCTGCCTATTTTTTTGTTGCAATTGTCATTATTGTTCAGCTGGCCCGGGCCAGGTTCAAACCCGCCAGCCTTGGTGTATGTGGCTGGCGCTGTAACCACTGTGCTATAGGTGCTGAGCCAAAAAGGTATTATTCTATAAAAAGATTTCCTAATTTGGGCTCCATAAATCTCTAAGAAATCCATTTTATGGGGGTTTCTGAACATCTGAAATTGTATGCAAAGTTTAATTCACAACTTTTGTAAATTTCTCAAAGAACCTCTACCCACAGTCAGTGTGAATTTTCTGCAATTTAGTCCCATTTCTCTTTGCCTCATCTTTCTTGGAAGATGCTTTTCTCCATATTATATAGCTCTGCATTAATTTAGAAATTACTACTATTTCCAAATGAAGAATCTCAGATCATTTTAGCTTTTTCATAGGCTCTTTCTTTTCTCCACATTTTAAAGCATTTTATGGCTGTCTTTTGAACGCTTTCCAAATTCTTCATAAACCTGAAAGTCAAAGACCTGAGAATTAGAAATCATGTACTTAGGAAGATCTAGTTTAGAATCTGGCATCTTCCGACAGTGATGCTAGAAAATTAGGGGAAGCAGACTTAAGGCTGCTCAGATGGTCCAGGAATGGCCCTCACTGAGTAAGTTAGGCAGATCCTCAAGGTCAAAGCAGCCAATGGATAAAAACTTCAGGTACAGCCTGCAGGATTGGCAATATTTCAAATGTCAAAGTAATAAATAGGTCTTAAACAAAGGGAATCATAGAAAGTAGGAATCAAGTCCAGGCCTGATAAAACCTGGAACGTAGCTTAACATATATAAACAAACGGTCACCTTACGTTGTAAAATAAATCAAGTCCCCCAAGGTTTGAGACTCTTCTTGTAGGGAGGTATTGCTGTACCTTACAATACGAATACTTGCCTCCCAGATTTCCTTTCTCCTTGCAACCTGTGCAGTCACACTAGCCTATGATGTTAGATCCCTGAGGGCTGTGTTCCCTTTGAGGTGCAGGTAATGGAAACAGTGGGATGGGGTGGGGGGGGCGGTGGCCTTCTTGATCCTTGAGTGCAGCCTTTTGACTGAATTCAAATTTTGCAGAACAAATCCTTGGGGCTGCAGGTTCCCCACCCTACTAATGGCAACTATAGACTGTTTCTGTGGAAGGAAGGCACCAGATACAAATACAAAAAAATTTTATGCAAGTAACCTGGCCTGAAACTGGTTCATGGTTAGTAACTCCTGAGTGAGATGTCTGATAGATTCAATACTTCTAACCTATTTGTTTCCTATCCTTTATTAACGTTTTGTCTAATTCTTTCAACTGCTGTTGCATTTGTACCAAGGAGATTTGAGTATATAATCTCCACATGCCAAAAGATTAATGAAGGGAACTGCAACACTAAGGCCAAAGCAGTGGTGACAAAAATAATTTGAAAGATATCTCTAGGTGAATTTGCGAGATAAGAATTGTGCCAAAGAAATCCAGCATCCCTTTACCAGCAAATGATTCTTCCTCTAATCTTATATCTAGGTTTTCTTTTACTAGCAAAGAGTCAATTCCTTTATAAATCATGGAATGGAATACTGACACAGAGCCAGCTAGTTAGTTTATATGGTTCCTACTGGAGCCATATCCTGTCTCCACGTATGGCTGGCCTAGGCTTCAGACAGTAGTGAAACCTCTGGCCAGGATAGGGTAAGAGAGTATGGCTTTGGTAATATAGCCTAAACTCCATTCGTGTCTTAGTTTTACTCATTTATCTCTAGTGGCTGTTTTTAGAGGTGTTAAATTTATAAGACTGAATTTAGAGAGTAATTCTCTGAATAATTTAAATTGAAAAAAATCCCCATTTACCACAAATTTTAGGTCATGGGAAACAGGGTACCTGAAATGAATTATATACCACTTAGAAGAAAAAAAAGAAAAATATTCTTCTTAAGTTACAGGGAAAAAAAAATTATTTGGAAGGATGGATTCTCCAATGTGTAAACATTTAAATTTAAAACAAAATTTAAAGGTTGATTAAATGTTTGTGTAAGAATGGGTCTCTGTGCTTTTGTTGAATTGTTTTTTTTTCTTTCTTCGTTTTGCTTGTCTTTTCTTGAAGACCAGTTTAGGACCTATCCTGCCTATGAAATAGAGTAGTATGGACTCTGATGACACTTTGGGGTAAACAACAGAATCTGTATCTAGCTTTTAGCACAGGGCGGGAAACATAGCCAGCAACAATCACGGGTATGACAGCGTTTTTCCCACATCCTCTAGCGATCAGCATTTAAAACCTCTTTACTATCTGACTATTAAAAAAAAACACACACAACCTCCACTACCTTTTCGTACTTGCTGTCCTTTTTTTTATACTTTTCTTATTTTTATATGTTATAGTTTGATCTGCATGATGAAATCGTAGGCTTCTTGATAGGCAATACAAAACTTTGTTTTAGGAATCAATATTTATTTACCTTACAAGCCATGTAGTCCTCATTTATTTCTTTATTTATTTTCTTCAACAGAAAATGAAAGCATTAGTAGAAAGGAGGAGGAGCGCTCCATCTCTTCTCCTGGATAAAGCCCTGCAAAAGCAGCCTGGTACCAGCAGGTGAGTGCGAGGCCTTGTGCTGCACGCCTGGAATGTGCCTGGAACTTTACATCAGATGAGCTTTTCTCATCGTGTGTTTTTTTGAGTGTGGGTGTTGTTCGTTCATTTTCTGTTAGTATCTGCATTCTCTAATAATAGAAAATATGACTTCTGACCTATTTTTTTTATGAAAATCATAAGCCTTTTAGAGCTGGTGTGTATGCTTGGTTGGTTTAAAACTGATTCAAAAGTGATGTTCCACATTTCTTCAAAGCTTATAGGTAGAAACAATTAGAAATGAGAATACTGAAAAATTAATGTTTTGTTATACACGAAACTTTGCTTATTTTTTATCATAAGCTGATGACTGTGTTTAGATAAATAAATTCTATATGCAACACTTCCTTTGGTCATTGGGCTGATTAGGAAGTATAAAGTCCTTTTAATAGATGCCTAATGAAAATTTAATTAGAAAGATATTCTGCCGAATAGCAATATAATAATACATTTCAATGTTACACATAAATGGCTTTTGGATTGCTTGCATCTATCCAATTTAGATATGAAGGAAAATAAGCAGATTAAGATTACAAAAAAATGGAATGTTGATTTCTTTAAGGCATTATTGGTTAAATTAATGAAAGTCAAAGTGTAAAAACAGGCTAAATATTTATTAAAATGGCCATTTGGGGGCGATGTCTGTGGCCCCATATACCGAGGGTGGCAGGTTTGAACCTGGCCCTGGCCAAACTGCAACAACAACAACAAATAGCCAGGTGGTGTGGCTGGCGCCAGTAGTCCCAGCTACTCAGGAGGTTGAGGCAAGAGAATCGCCTAAAAGAGCTGGAGGTTGCTGTGAGCTGTGATGCTACAGCACTCTACCAAGGGTGACAAAGTGAGTTTCTGCCTCAAAAAAAAAAAAAAAAAAGAAAGAAAGAAAGAAAGAAAAAATGGCTATTTTATCTATTTTGGCTAATTAATATTTCAATGAACATTTTAAAGTTTTTCATAATGTGTAGAAATTGATGGATATTTCTCAAATGGAATTTTAACTCATAGGAGTTTTTATGTTCAAAGGAATTCTGTGATGACTATCTTCTAAGCTGTGAATTCTTTTATGTAAATTGAAATCCTCATCTTTATTTAAAGTGAAGATATACCTATTACTATGATACTCTTATGAATGATGTGTTAATTTAACACAAAATCTATACAAAAGTATGGAAGACTTTTAGTGCCAAAATAAATTCTATATCCAAACCCCATTTAGTGAAATTTACGAAGTACTTAGGTCACTTTCTTCCCAGTACTGAGTTCTCTTGGACTCAGTATCCTTCCAGCCTGTCCCCAATGACATATGCTTTGGTCATTGGGCTGATTAGGAAATATAAACTCCTTTTAATAAAGATGCCTAATGAAAATTTAATTAGGAGGATATTCTGCCAAATAACAACATAATGATACATTTCAGTGTGATACATCAATGGCTTTTAGATTGTGTGCACTGGTGTGTTTTGCATTAGTGTGGATAAAAGAAAAAGGTTATATCTTCACAGTTTAATCTTGATTACCTAGAAAACCTAGGGGAAAGAACTTTTTAAGGGAGGTAGAGAGAGGAAGCAGAATTCATTTCTATAGATGTAACAATAACTTTTTTCACTTTTTTTAATAGATTGTTTTAGGTAAAATTTCTTATTAGAAGCTTCTGGATTTGAAGTGTGCCAAGGTTTTCAGTTAAAAATAGTCCTCATATAAAAGATGCTCTAGCCTGAGATCAAGGACCAGTAATTGTCCTCCTGACTCAGGGCAAGAATCTCTGGTAGTGTGCACGTAGACGCTGAAAGTTTATGTGGACTGCCGTTCACAGTAGAGCGCTACAGACCTCTAGGGGGTGCTTTGGAATTTTGCGGCACATGGGAGTTTTTCTCAATGATTTAGTGGGTATGTAGAGAATTTTATATAACAAAGGGTCCTTGAGTCTAATAGAATCAAGAACCTCTGACTTAGCTGAAGTGCCCGGCAAGGGAAAAATGGTAACACTTAAGTGACTTACTGAGAAATGCCACTTGCGGTTATTTTAGGTTACAGACCAATATAATGATATGGTATGTCATATCATATACATATGCTCCTCCTGTGTATATCATAGATATATGCTCCTCCCCACAGTAATATGAATGCATAGTGCCAGGGAATAGAACCTGATCCTATTTTATAGACAGGATGCTTTTATTCTCTGTAGCTATTGGTGGTTAGACTCTGAAGCTGTATAAAATATTTGTAAGTAATATAATCTGAGGATTAGAAAGAATCTTAAAGGTTCTCTGGTCTTGTGCCTTAACTTTTCTAATTCAGTATTCTACAGCTGGGACGCCGCCAACTCTATATTTCTCAAAAGACTCTGATTCTGACGCACTCTTCTTTTTTTTTTTTTTTTTTTGTTATGGTAGGAACATGTAATATGAGATCTATTATTTCTATAGATTTTTAAGTATATAATACAATAATTGTTACCTATAGGAGTCCAGTGGACTCTTGATAAGAGAACCCCAGTGGCAAGATACAGAAGAATCCTTTTATAGTTAAATTGCTTATAAAAAAGGAATACTAAAATACATTCTAAGGAAATATTTAAAATTAATAAAAGTAGTACATATTTCATATAAAACAAACAACATCAACCTGTATACAAGAAAAAGTAAAGTCCCTATTCTGGCCCCAGTAACCCCAATTAATTATGTGTGTATCCTTTAAATTCTTGTCTATTTAGTTGTGACTAGAATTTTTATTTTCTTTCCCTCTTGTTTAAATTCTCACTTTCATATGTATTAGTTTTTTAATTTTCAAGTCTCTTGCAGTTTTTTTTTTAAATTGGAGCTAAAATCCTATTATAACATTCAAGAAAATGTGTGAATTTTATCCACCTTTATATAATGTATGTTCTTGAAAAGTTAACACAAATAAGATTTTTATAAATTATTAATGAACTTTCTATTTTTAAAACATCCTAAAGTTTGAATTTAAAGAAATCTTACAGTATAAAACTTATTATTTTTATTAAGTGGTGCTTTTTCCCCATAGTTACTAAAAGGAACATAACTTTTTACAATTAAGAATTTGCTTTCTATCCAGGGTACAATGGATACAGAAATTTCTAAAGTCCAAGATAATAGCATATCTATCAAGTAGAACTTTACCAAACAACTCTAGTAACCCTTCAAAAAAGCATTACTCTCTCTTCAGATGTAACATGGGAACTAACCTGCAGAAGACTGTAGGCAGTATGGGGCAGACAGCAAAGAAATGAAGTGTTCTATTTATTTGTAAAACACAAATTATAGAATTATAGAATATAGAATGTATTTATTATAAATAGAATAAATTCTATAAATAAAATATAGAATTTATTATATTTAAATATATAATATTTTACATATTTTTTGAACTAAATCCATCTTTGATTTTGGCTCTTTAGTAGACTTTACTAATTTTACTGTTGTCCCTTATGTAACTTGTCACTCAGTAACTAATGACTTGTAGATGATGATGAAATATTTATCAAAATCTGCAGGGGATTTAAAAGAAATTTTTCATTTAACAGCTGCAGCATCTCAATTCTTTTTTCTTTATAATGAGAGCTGGTAAGAGGAAGAAGGACTTAGGTTAACTGAAGAATTATTTTACCTCCAGGGCTCTTTTATGAACCCACAGGGTACATAAGCAGAGGCAGTTTATAGATTTTAATGTTTTGTTTTCGTATGTGGACACCATTCAGATCAGCTGGAGGTGGTTTCAAGTAATTATTATGCTGTCTGGTATAGCAGATGACAGAGCATTTCACACTAGGAAGGTTAGCGGTTATCTAAGGTGAGTGTGTACAACATGGGTGCACTTAGCGCTTTTACTCTTTGACACAATAGTGTTCCACTGTGTGTTTAAGGGCAGCTTCACTTAGTCATGGTTGTCCTCGTGTTAAGACTCTAAGCCGGTGGTTCTCAGCCTTCCTAATGCCATGACCCTTTAATACAGTTCCTCATGTTGTGGTGACCCCCAGCCACTTCAGGGTCACCACAACATGAGGAACTGTATTAAAGGGTCGCCGCATTAGGAAGGTTGAGAACTACTGCTCTAAGCACATACACTGAAAGGATTAGTTTTCTTAAAAGCATAATGAGCGTGTTGAAATACATCACTTGTTAAATCCCTTACAGTTCTATGACTATATAGTATAGAAGACTTCTCTGTGTATACTCTGAATTCTAATGTTCGCAATTTTCTTGACATACTGTACTCTCTGGCCTTGGCTCAAGTGTCACTTCTTTCAGGAGCTCTGCTAACTCTTCATAAATAACATACATGCTCCTGCAGCACCATATGTGCCTTGTTTTTACATATAAATAATAGAATTTTATTGCTTGCAGCTTTGGAGGATGGGAAGTCCAAGATTAAGGCACTGACAGGTTTGGTGTCTGGTGGAGGCTTCTCTCCACTTCCAGTACGGCACCTCCTGCTGTATCTTCATATGGAAAGGGCCACATCTTCCTTGTACCTCTTTCATAAAAACATTAATCCCACTGATGAGGGTTCTGCTCTCATGACTTAATCTCCTAAAGGCCTCCCCTCTTAACACTATCATGTAGGTAATTAAGTTTCAACATAGGAATTTGGGGCCAGACGTGCTGGCTCACACCTGTAATCCTAGCACTCTGGGAGGCCAACGTGGGCAGATCGCCTGAGCTCACAGGTTCAAGAACATATGAATTTGGAGGAAGCACATTCAGGCCATAGCGCCCAGTTACTCCAACCTCAGTTTCCTCATAAGTGAACAGGAGTCACAATAATGCCTTTTTCTTTAATTGACCCATAATAATAGTACCTGCTTACGGGGCACAGTGTGATAAGCACTCTCTTTATCTTTTAATTATAGTACTCAATCACACATTTATTAATAGAATAATACCTTGTACATATGGTATTAAATTAGATGAATTAGTGAATGAAGGAGTAGCTCCATTTCCAAA